CACACACACACACACACATATGGATGCACGCAATTTTTTCTACAGTTTGAATAAAATAATTATAAGTAGGTGTCCCTGGATATGTACTGAAAACATTACTGGAGTACTGGCATTTTGCCTTTTCAACTACTTAACACATGAGACCTGAATATATCCACATTTTTCTTTTTCTTTTTAAGATTTTATTTATTTATTTGAGAGGGAGAGAGAGAAGCAGACACCCTGCTGAGCAGAGAGCCAACATGGGACTAGATCCCAGGACCCTGAGATCATGACCTGAGCCAAAGGCAGCCACCCAGGTGCCCCTATATCCGCATTTTTCTACACCCATTGATAAAGGATTAAATTGTTCACTTTTTGGAAAAGTGTTAACATGTATATCTATGTGTGTATATACGTATATATATGTTAATTTCAATGTACTTCTGTATCAATGATTTTCCAGTAAGTTATCAAGCCATCATAATTAAAGGGGTAGCCATAGTTCTACAAGAAGGCAGGGCAGGGGGTCATGGGGGAAGGGAGGGAAAAATGAAACAAGATGGGACTGGGGAAGTAGACAACCATAAGAGAATCCTAATCTCAGGAAACAAACTGAGGGTTGCTGGAGGGGAGGAGGGTGGGATGGATGGGGTGTTGGGTGATGGACATTGGGGAGGGCATGTGCTATGGAGAGTGCTGTGAATTGTGTAAGGCTGATGAGTCACAGACCTGTACCCCTGAAACAAATAATACATTATATGTTAATTTAAAAAAATAAATAAAATCTGACTAATAAGCCAGAAAAAAAAAAAAAAGAAGAAGAAGAAGAAGCAAAATTACCTAGTACATGTCATAAAGACTTATAAGTAAATACTATACTTGAGGGTCTATCTGGAAACATGTATCCGAAGAATTGTCTACAAAATTAAGCAATTAGGAACACGTTTTTGCATTTATGAGTTAAAGATGGTAATTCTATCCTCTGTGTTGAGAATGAACACTCTAAAAACTAAGTAATTCTTCATAAAGCCCATCTTGGTTTTTCTAATATTTAAGGAATTATGAGAGCCAATGACTATATTTCTCTGAAAAAAAGTTATTTATGAATTCCCCTTGGGTCTATTTTTCAGGAATTGGTTATGAGTTTGGTTATTTGGTTATTCTTCTCAGGGAATACTCATCATGGAAAAACTTGGTACAATTCCATCCAAATAGGGTTTTTTAAAATTACTTAATGTGCTAATAAAAATTATAATAAACAAAAAGTAATAATAACCCAGAACTTGCTTTTAGCCAAATTATTTCTCAAAGGACACTGAGGGGCCTTGGTTTAAAAAGTATGACATAGTAAAGAGGAGACAGTTTTCTCCCTTCTAAAGCACTGTATAATATAGATTCAACAAACAAACCAAATTCTAAAATGTATATTCTGGTGTTTGCATCATTCCTATTTTGGCATGTTAATTTTATTTTTTAAAACAACACTATTTATTTGATGTGAAAATTAAGAATCCTCTTTCCCCTCCCCATGTCTGGTGTCACTTACTACTCAGTGGTAAGGGCTAATAGATGTTGAGTTTAAAGGAGATGCCTTGAAAACTGACTCTCTTTCAGAGGTGATGGCAATCAGACTTGCTACCTGATTTCTCACAGTTGAACAATGAATGGTTTGAGGCCCTAAGGATATATGCTGGTGTTATTTTCAGGCGTGCCAAATGAATAGCTAGAAATATCTGAAGCCTTTGAAAGGTACTACACATTATAATTATCAGACTGTGTTTGCATGCTTTACACACACACCAGTTACAGATATTGGGAGACTCCGTATTGCTAACAATTCTGTCATTCCCAAACAGAGACAATTCTTGCTTTTCAATAGAAGAACGTTTCATTAATGAAAGTGGTCAACTGCAACAACATTAATGACTGACACTTTTTTGCAGGAAGAGGCAGCCAGGTTTAGGAACGCAAGATTTTGCCCCCAGCATCTCTTAAGTTGAGTCAATGAGGATAGTTGAAAGGAGATCTGGGGCTTTACGTTGGAATCATTAACAAAATTTCAAGGAGAGAGAGGAAGGGAGTGCATTAGAAACATACAGTAGAGGGGCGCCTGGGTGGCTCAGTGGGTTAAGCCTCTGCCTTCGGCTCGGGTCATGATCTCAGGGTCCTGGGATCGACTCTCTGCTCAGCAGGGAACCTGCTTCCTCCTCGCTCTCTGCCTACTGCCCTGCCTGCTTGTGATCTCTCTCCCTCTGTCAAATAAATAAATAACAAATCTTAAAAAAAAAAAAAAAAAAAAGAAAAGAAAAGAAAAAGAAAAAGAAAAAAAGAAACATACAGTGAAAAGAAAATTTCTGGAACCTTCTAACTAAAATGGATGAAAGTAAGAAGTGAAAAATAAAAGCAAAATAATAATAATAATTCAAAACAAGATTATTTTTTTAAAACTAAGTAAGTAAGTAGCAAGTGAATAGGACTCCCTCCAGTAGTTATAAGGATGCCAGGAAAAGGGAATTGAGCTCTGGGCAAAGAGTAGACTGTGCTTTAGTTGTACCTGTTTAGGAAGTTAAATGCTTAGGGAGGCACATTCCCTCTTTCAGGTCAGCGGGGTACCATTTAGTACATTACTGCTGAAATACCCTGGCGACCTGAATGAATTAATGCAGCTTCCAAAGGTGCTTAACTTGCAAGCACTGAGAGCTCAGGCACTAGAAGTGATAAATATTCTATTAGTTCTTTCTATTTAATACACCAAACACCCAAAAATGCCAGCAAAAAGAAATTTATTTAAAGGGAAAGAATTCCGCTGTGGCAGGAGATATTCAGGCAACAATTTTAACCAGCAGTTTCTCCTTTCAGCTTGTCGATGACCCAACAGGTGTTAAGTTCATCATTCTAGTTGGCTGTGTTCAAACTGGCCCACTCTTGCATCACATCACATCTGCAGTGTCTTTAAGGGAATCTGCTCTCTTGAAAGAATAAGAGTGGGCTCCGAAATGATTAAGCCCTAGACAAAATTGTTATGTTTGCCTCTGGCACTCTGGCCTTCCTTTTCCTTTCCCAGTCTCTGCTCTTCCTATCCTCAAGTGCAATGGAAAGTTTTCTTATTAACAGAGCCTCATAATGTGGGCTAGAACTCCAGCACAGGTCCTTACTGTCTGTGAGGACTTGAGCAAGGCATTTTGTTCTGAATCTCAATTTGCCATATGTCAAAATGGGAACAGTAACACATAACTGTTAGGAAGAGTAAAATCAGATAATACAAATGAAAAGTCTAGCTTCTTATGATTGTTGTCAGCCTATGTCCTCTTTTTAAATAGATAAATGGATGTCAATTATCCATATGGTTTTACCTTTGACAGAATATTTGGCATCAGAAGAAGGGATATTTTTGGTAAGATATCTTCCCAGTATCTCATCGATCATACATAGACAATAAATTGCCAAATCTATTTATAAACAAGGCTCTTCTTGACACAGGACACAATCATGGATGAAAAACTCAATATTTTAAAACTTTAAAAGCTTCCCTCCCAAACCTGAGTTAAGCAGTACAGTTGGACCTATCAATAACTCATTTCTTGCCATCTTCAGCTCTGCATTCCACTAATTTTATCAGCAGATAACCAGAGACATAGAATTTTTCAACTTTAACCTTCCTCTACATTACTCTTTAAAAGATTGCCTAATGGGAAAACACAACCTTGACATTTATTCTGTAAGCAACAAGAAGGGAGAGTTGCGTATTCTATGCTACCTAATGTTTCCAGTCAAAGAAGGGCTTTAGGAAAATCTGAATCAATAAAGTATTGTGTGTATGGCCCAATATACTTTTATATTGACATGTACATATTTAATATAATACATATATTATCATATATTATACTCAAAGCTACAAAGGTATTTTTCCTTAAAGATAAGAAAACTAGAATATTAATATAAGATTATAAAACCAAGTGAAACAAAATGTTGCCACATATAACTGTTATTATCTAGGATAATAACAATCTTGTCCTTGTAATAATTTTTCTTGAAGGAGAACTCTGACTGACAGTATTTAAACTGAACTCACGAAGATTCTTCAAAAGTCAAACTAAATTAGCATCCTGATCCTATAAGGGGGTTGACTGACATTGTAATCTAACATTTTGCATTCTTTATTAAGTGGTTTTCTTCTTCATTTTCTAGGTCATACATCAGTAGCATCATCCTCACGTATGAAGAAACCATAAATGTGCCAACTAATAGAAAAGCTCTGTACTGCCTTAAATTCCCACCATGACCCTTGTCTAAAACTGATCAATAAAGTCTTGCCATGCAAGAAGGCAACAAGAAGAAGTCGAGATGATCAAGTGACAGTGCCCTACAACTACTGATGACCCAACAGAGCAGTCGCACTCGGTCCTTTGACCAGCCACTGTTAAAGAAAAGCCATGGAAGCTTTTGATGGCTAGTGTATGGGGTTCAAACCTTAATTTTATTACTCTCCCTGCCACTGGAAGAACAGAGTGAGTTCGGAAGCATCACCCTAGAGAAGACGGCTTACACCCTATCATATTAATGGGACACAACTTCCATCAACAGAGACCATGAGCTGGCACACAGTAAGTGCTCAATCAATGCTTCTGTATCTACGAGAAGTATAAAACTTGGGGTATCATTCAGGTATTCTTCCAACAGAACACCAGCCTTTGGGTCCCTACCAAACCCCACATTCCTCTGAGGTTATAGGATCTGTGACGACATTTCCTCATAGGCTATAGGGGGCTGGGCCTCCATCGCTGCTCTTACTTGAGTAAGTCTTATCGTCAAAAGCTCTCCTGAAATACACTGATAATTTGGGAAAAGTGCCTTTTAAGGCTTGAATTATCTGAATAATGAACAAATCTCCACGTCTAATTGAACTCAGCCTGCGCATAGGCTCAGACTCAAAGCAAACTCGGTGAAGCATTTCCAGTAGAACTCGGGCAGGCCAGATGTTCTGGAAGCAGAACCACGGTCATTATGCACATGCCAGCTCCTCCTCACTCCACCCGGGGCCAAGACCCTTTCAGCAGCACGAGGCCTGGTTAACATATGACTCTGGCTGCATTACCGCGTGGCATCCCAGCACCCATTTGAACATTTCAGCAATTTTAAACAAGCTCCGCTGACAGGGACTATTACACTGAAGCCAAAGAAGCACACAGGGAGAGCACATTAATTATGAGGTAACACCTTTGTCTGCATTACCTAAATGACCTCAGGGCGGGTGACGCATCCGCGATCTACTACTTTTGGTTAAACCATACCTACACCCCACATGAGGCAGAATGAACACAAGTTACACAAAAACCATGATATAAGTCGTCAAGTATGACTTGACATGGTCCTGAAGTGAAGTGAATAGTAGTGTCAAATTCTTTACTGTGTTTCTGAGATAAGGGGCTGCTTGATGTGTGGGGGGCAGTGTGGGTTCGGAAGGAGGTAAGTGAGGGAAGCTCTCAAAGTGGGGCTCTGCCCTACCCAATCCCCATCCCTGACAACATTACTACATCCCCTCACACATTCGAAAATTCATCCAGATTGAGCAGCTCCTTCAAAACAGAATGCACCCAGGGAAAGAGTTGAAAGTCATTTACACCTCTGGCTGCACTATTCTGCTTTTATGGAAAGGCTTCTTCCCCCTTAATTAAGAGAATGCTAGTTTTCTTTGGGGAATTAGATGGGCAATCTTGCAACATGGAGCACTTCCATGAAGAGAAGATACAGGTGGGATACAACAGCAAGGATTTCAGAGAAAGAAGAGTGTGCGAGCGCGTGCCTGACGTGTTGGGAGATGGTAGCGCTGGTCAAGGAGAGACACGCCAAAGATAAAATGGGAAGGTTCCTTTGTACACTTGGCTTTCGCAAAATTTTGTCTGGGTTTGTTAACAATTTCACACACTAAAAATCACTTTATCAGTTCTGACATGGATGTAGTAACTTGCTAATGCCTGATCTAAAGTAATCCCTTTAGGGCTGACGTGCATTAACATACACATTTTATATTTGGATAGACAGATTTTTAGTGATTTTTTTTCCCCAGGGGCGTACAAAGGGGGTTCTCAGTTCACAATGTAATATAGCACTTGCCACAGGAAAGCAGTGAGAAAGTCCCTATTTGTGCTGGAGTAGCTGTCCTATAACACATAGCTACACTTCAGCAAATGTCAGGCTTAAAAACAGAAGGAGACGTAGCAGATAGGGTTGGCCAATTACACTGCGATCTGAAAACACCAGTGATTTATTAGTTGCTATTTGCTAACCAGCTCCTCTCCATTTGATCTGCGTATTTATTAGTTATAAGTACTATGGAAGCACACATTATTGTTCCACCACAGAAACTGGTTTTTTTTTTTTTCAACCTCTGCCTTGTCTTTTCATATGAGAACACAATAGAATAATTTGAGTTGTGATTAGTTTTTTAAAAAGAAATCCTGCAACTGGAATGAAATTTCACAGTGCATTTCAACCTTTAAAGAAACATAAATCTGAAACTAATACCAAAAAGTATAAAAAATTTCCATATTCAGGTTAATGTTTGGCAACAGAAAAGAATAACTTGTTTATCTCTGAAAACAGCTTTCTTCATCTAAACAAATGACTAGAATAAGATTAAGAAAAACCTGTTTTGGTTTCTTAGATACACACACATATTCCAATTTCCTTCTGCACAATGACTTTTATGCAAATGTGTACCACACAATCTCCTGACCTCTTTTACCATCACACCGGGACAATGACAGTTCAATAATTGAAACGGTACATATCTGGTGTATTTGATTTTAAATTGCAAAGTTGGACTCAGGCCTATTGAAATGAAAATGCTTGTGATTCTTTGTTAATTCCAAACTGATTGGGTAATTATTTCCTACTAGTTAAAAAAAAAAATGTAGGCAAAGCTAATTATTCCGTTTTTTATTTCCTTGCCACATACTTTTCCCAATATGGTTCTTTGCATTCTCTTCTGTGACCCTCCCCCACAACTTGATTTTAGTTCTTAACCCGGATGCTTTCATCCATAACATGGATAATGAGAAAACTCCAAAAATGTTCCTTGGGGGAATGTTACACTAAAAGTTACCTAGGACTAAATCCCACGTGTGTTCTTTTGCTCACCATGGAGACAAGAGATTCATTCACTGTTCTCAGCCAATTTGAAATCCAAATATGAAAATAGCATTATGGAATTCAGACAGACTATTCTGCTTCACTACTAGCAGATGCAGGAAGGAAAAAGGCTGGTATGATTAAGCTTTTGACTTTGAACCAGCAAAGCTGTGAACACCTCGCTTAAAAATACATATAATATTATAAGGGCAGCTGACGTGCAGGTGTGGCGAGAGGATTTGCAAGCCCTACCTAGGATGGGGATAAACCAATCAGCTGGCTGGAAAAGTCTTGTCTGTTCTGAGCCAAGAATAAACTTAACTGTAAAACTGAAATATGGCCAAAGTCGCATTTGTTCTTCTGAGGCTTGAATATGTAGTGCTAAGTGGTTTCCGTTATAACTTTTTACTCAACTCTTTAGAAAAAGTTGGGGATCATTTAAGGAGGATACCGATTGTAATGCATTTAATTTTTTTTTAAATGAGGGTTGGAAGTAACACGGTTTCTTTAATACTTATCTCAGGCTATTTACTTATTCATCTTACAAATATTGAGGATGTATTCTGTGAATAGCAACTGACAAGAATTTGTAGAGGATGCAAAGGTGTGAAGTTAGAAGAATATAATTGAATCCAATAAAGCAGTTAGCTAAGAAACACTGCCTTCGCATCATCTCCAGATCTGGATGTTGATGTAGGTACATGCACGTGCACACTTTACCTTACGACACTGACTGTAGCTATCTATGCACTCAGTATTCGTTAATCTCACTTAAATACACTTTTATACATGGAAGGAGAAGATTAGGGGCAATCTGTAGCTTCATTTTATTGTTTTAATTTCCTAGACCAATTTTGTTTCACCATTAAAATTTCTGGAGGAAAAATCAAAATTGAATAGTGCTCAGGGCTTCAGAGAATTCTGCTTGAAGAAGTGAGTAAGATTTCCTTAACAATTCCAAAATTCCTTTTTTAAAAAATTCTAAGGAAAATAATACTGCCAAAAAAATGAATACAGCTTTGTTTGTTTTTGCAGTCATCGTTAGCAATAGACATAAAGGTATTCTTTTTTGAGTCCATATGGAAAGATCATCAACACATTCTGCCTCTGGGTCCTTTGCCAAAATACCATAACCCGCAAGCCTTCTACCTTAAACATAAAAGGAAAGGTGTTGTTCTGGTCAAATAAAGAAATAATTTTTACTAGCATACATCTAATGTTAAAGCTGCCTAAATCCTGCCAAATACATTAAAACAACATCTGTAAAACAGATTTTCATTAAATTGATCAGTTTAAAGTTAAGCAGCTAGGCAGATGATGCTTTTAAGCTAACCCTTAACCTTTAACCTTTAACCTCCTTAAACTGGAATAAGGACACCCACTTCTTTTCGTAATACTGCTCCAGGTTGACAATGCAAGAGGTAAAGTGGTCTATTCATATTGAACGGACACATCACCACATTTAGAGTGTTATGAATCAATATGTTGTCAATAACAAGGAAAGCTGTTTTCTCACAGCTCTGTATTTGTCTTAAAACTGCTACTTGTCACTTTCCCTTAAAGTCTGAATAATTCACGACGCAAAATGATGTAAATTAAACTCCTAATGAAAATGAATTTTATATAGATTATTGTCTAGTCATTAACTTAGAAACTATTTTAAGTCTAATTTTAATATTTTAGCCTATTATAAACCATCATTTTTTTTTCCAGGCCCAGGCCAATTTGTTAGGTTCTCATTTAAAAGCAATTAATGTTACTTATGAAGCAATTTCATTTTGCCGACACAAGCCAACCAAGCTTGCTAATATTCTCATTACTACACTTGAAAAATCCTCTATATCTGACTCAGACAGTTTCTGTAAATCAGTTTCGAAAAGGCACCCTCAACACACTACTACTCTGGAGTATTTTTCTAGTTACTACTAGAAATAATGAATGCCCCTTGAAGGATAATACAAAATAATATAGTTCGATTGTCCAATACCCAGTTTCAGTAGCCCAAATATTTATCTCCTCAATCTTCTTTTAGCAATTCAAGGTAAGTTTGTTTGAAGTATGTTTTTGTTTGTTGGCAGACCATTTTTTAGACACTATCCTGCAAAGACACTTGAGCATTTAAGAGATAAGCAAATAAAGAAGAGGGGGGACAAGTACATTTTTATATGACTTTATAACATTTTTAAGGGAAGAGTACATCTATTCTTTCGTTCTGGGATCTCAAGCTCTCTCTGCTTTAAAGCCTTCTTTATAAACAAGCTTTTATCTCATTTGGTTGTTACATTCGAAGGCAATATCCAACTCCCCCTGAAAAGAAACTTCAACACTAACTCTGACACTTAGCAAATTGCTCTGCAAATAGGGAGATCAACTCATAGTCAAGGAAAGGATGAATAAACTTAACAGCCACAGATACACACACGTTTAAATAATCATCAAACAATTAGATAAAACAACCTTCCCTGAGAAAATATAACACTCTACCTTTCTTTAGCTTCCCACATGAGATCAATAAAATAGAAAAATTTGTACATTTATATCTTCTATTCACAACATGTTAATTTAAAGTGTTAGAGAAGCTGCGCGAATATAAACAGTTCATGAATATTCTATATAGCTCCCAGGGTCGAGATCTATTATTTATACAAACCTAATGTTTGGGTTTTTTGCCTAGGTATTCTAAAAGTTTTAATAGGTCAGGTATCAACAGGAAAAAAAAAAAAAGAGTTGACAACTGAATGGTAAAGCCTGTGAATTATAATACAATTAATCCTGTATATTATATTTCCAATAGCATTGACTTAGAAGCTTGCCATTTTACACTGGGCTGCTACTCCCCTCAAACTGTGTAAACTAAATCTAACGCTTTAGTTATTGATCCACAGAGCACTGATATCACAGGAACAGTGTTACAGATTCTCACGCCACATCCACAGGTTTTTACGCTCAGTACGTCGATCTAGAATTTGAACTTCAAGAAACAACCCAAACTAACAGTGCTAGCCCCAATCCAAATAAATAATTCTAGCACCTGATCTAGAGATCCACAATCTGCCCTTTTTGTTGTGTGTTTATAGTT